TTCCATTAACATTCATTGCTCTTTATTTACGCTCAACTCTCTACCAGCAAACAGGGTTGGGCTGCCGTGGTGCAATAAATTTTATCTTTTGTTATTATCGCCACCCCCAACAAAGAACTATAAAAAGGTTAATATAAGCGGGTAACCTGGCGTCCTGCATAGATATATAAATGTTTAGAATATTACAACAGAATATTATCATATTTTGCATAGATATATTATTCTTTCATTGTAATTTTTCGTTATTTTTATGAAAATAAGTTTGTTATCTGTGCGGGAGCGGGAAGCCATTTTGTTGATACCAACTGGCTTTTTAATCTATGTTTATGTATCTTTGCTCCGAGGAAGATGACGTGATGAGGTTCGGTCGGTCAGACGTAAAAACGCGAAAGAGAGAGAGAGAGAAAGAGAGAAGAAGAAAGATAGAGAGATAGGAAGAGGTGCAACGAAACGACATATGAATAGAACGTTCTACAATGTGCAGCTTGAAACCGACACACGTAAATAGTTATAATTACAAAATAGATGCAAATATCCATGCGACAAAATATAGGAAGAATATAGACGCATAAATGGTAAAACACACACATCCATACAAACACTTTACATAAATTTGACGGTAGATGAAAAGAGAATAACCAAAAACATGCAGACAGACACTCGGACAGACACATGCACAGACACAGACATACAAACAAACACAAACGAACAGATACGTTGATATTTATGGGGAAATTAAGAGAGAGTTAAGAACTAAAGGAAAAATAATTTACCTACATGCCCGCTCCAGTTAAATGAAACAATCTAATTAAGAAAATCGTTGCGGAGATGATGACGATGATGATGATGATGATGATGTTAGTATTGATAGTGACGATAACGATGATGATGATGACGGTGGTGATCATGATTATGATCTTTTCTTCGTTAGTAGTGGTAGTAGTAATACTACTGTAAGCGAGTAGCTTCCTATAAGATATAAAAGCCGGTCAATAAAGGAACCGGCAAAATTCTAAGTAATAATATAAACCTTACAATGGGCTATAAACATCACACTACGCACACACACACACACACTCACACAAACACAGACAAACACACACAGACACAAACACAGACAAACAAACACACACACAAACATACACACACACATATATATAAAGAATATTAACCCCAGCTACTATTAATGCCCAATAATAATAGTTTATAATGATCTTTTCAATAGCTGGCCCGCCCGGAGTATTTATACTACTTTAAAGTATTATCATCGTTCATGCCTCTACTATAGATGTTTTAGTAGTAGTTGTAGTAGCCACATCAGCAGCAACAGTCTTTGTAGCAGCAGCAGCAATTGTAGTAGCAGCAGCAGTTGTAGTAGTAGCAAAAGTAGTAGTAGTAGTAGTAGTAGTAGTAGTAGTTGTGGTAGTAGAATTAAAAGTAGTATTTTAATGATTAAAAAAATTATTAATTCCGAAGAAATGAAATCCGACATAACAAAAATAATTGCGCCATAAATACGGCTTCTACTTTTTCTTATTTTCAGATGATTCTACCAATGAAGGATTTACTGAGAAAAAAATTTAAGCGCCGCAAAAATGTTCATACATACAAACGTATATACATAAATAAAAAGATTTTTTTATAATGAAACGAAAAAAAATATGCTAAAAAGTTACATATTAGCGGGAAATGGAAGAAGATGATGGGCATAAAAATGAAATATCGAGTGAAATTTAAAGTGCACATCAATCTAACTTCAGCGTTTTCAATCATAGGCTCATGAGATCATTCCTACACACACGCATACACACACACACACGCATGCACACACACGCATACACACACTCATACACACACGCATACACACACACACGCACATGCAAAGAAACATACGCATGTACATTCTGAGGTGCATATGCAGGTTTGCTGGTTCAAATCTCTAGATGTGTTTGACCGTTTTTAAAAAGCTATTACTGTCCTTTATTCGTTTTTCTTTTTGTTCTATTCAGTCATTCATCTATTCATTCATTCAGTCAGTCATTCATTCTTTCTTTTGTTTCTTCTTTCATTCTTTTAGTCTTTTTTTCAATTTTCTAATTCTTTTACTTTTTCAGTCCTTCCTGGATTTCTCCATTCAATTCATTGTTATTTAATTTTCTTTTGTCGCTTTCAACTTCGTCATCTTCATCTTCATTTTCATCTGCTGTTGCAGCGTTATCTTTCATTCATTCATTCATTCATTCATTCATTCATTCATTCATTCATTCATTCATTCATTCATTCATTCCGTATTTTAAAAAAAAAAATTTTCTCGGTATTTTTTTGTTGTTGGTGGTGGTGTCCGTTTCCTAAAATTAATTAATTTATAATCAATCTTTCTCTCACTCATTCACTCCCTCTTTCTCTCTTTCTCTCTCTCTCTTTCTCTCTCTTTCCTTTTTCCTACCTTCTCTTTCTTTTAATTTCTTACATTTTCTTTTTTCTCTTCATTCGTTTTTTATTCCTTCATTTTTCCTGGTCAGTCTATCAACATTTGGACCATGCAATGCATCTATCGCATGCTTTCCATCCATCCATCCAATCAATTATTCATTTCATTCATTCGTCATTCATTCATTCATTTATTTTTTGTGTCCGTCTGTTCATCCGTTCGACTGTCCATCCATCAACAAATCAATTTTTCTAAAAAAAAATGTTTTCAGGCATTTTTTTCATCGAAAAGGTAGAAATATGATGGATGGATGGTTGATTGGATGAATGAATGGATGGATGGATGGATGGATGGATGGATGGATGGATGGATGGATGGATGGATGGATGGATGGATGGATGGATGGATGGATGGATGGATGGATGAGCAGATTTTTTAGGTCCCCTAGCGGCCATCTAAAACCATTTACGACGAAAATCTATTACCTATGGATAGATGGATGGAAGGAACGAATGAATGAACGATTGATAGATAAATAAATGATCGTATGCGGGAAGGAATTAATAAAAATTGAACGACTGAATGAATAAAAAAATGAATGAAAATGAGCGAGTGATGAACAAATGAATTAATGAGAAATAACCGACTGAATTAACGAAAAACTAATGAAAAACAAATGGAAAATGAATGAATGGATTGAATGAATGATTGAATGAATGAATGAATGAATGAATGAATGAATGAATGAATGAATGAATGAATGAATGAATGAATGAATGAATGAATGAATGAATGAATGAATGAATGAATGAATGAATGAATGAATGAATGAATGAATGAATGAATGAATGAATGAATGAACAAAACAAATGACCAAAAAATGAATAAATGAGTTAAAAAAGGAATGAACAATTGAATGAGTAAACGAATAGATGAGTGGGCAAACAATGGAAGTAATGAATGTTGCGGCGGCCAAACAACAAATTGTTACATTCCCTTTATACGCTGGTCGATGGATTGTCTGGAGAATGAAGGGATGAATTAATGAGTGAATGAATAAATTGGTAAATGATTGAAAAAACGAATGAAAGAATGAAGCTGCGAATGAATGAATTAGTTAATGAATTGAAGCGAAAGAAATTTATTAAACACAAGATAAAACTGAAAAAATGGACGCCGATTAAACGCTCCAGTGATAAATTGACCAAAAAAGAGATCGATTTAAAAAAATAAAAAGACAAAATAGAAAGCAAGAATGAATGAATGAATACACGAATGAATGAATAAAAGAATAAATGCACGGATGATAGGATGATTGATTGGTTGACCAGGTAATGTTACGTGTGTACTTTTTGAATGATGAATATTGCCCATGCATAATTAATAAGCAGAATTTCTAAACAAAATTGCCTCTTTTTCTGGATATTTTAGAATTAAAATCAAAGAATTTCAACAAATTTTATGAAAAAATGTAAAATATAAAAAATTAATTTTTTAAAAGTTAAAATTTTAAAAGTTAAGCAACTGATCGAAATTTTTTTCAAAAAAATCTAACTTTCCAGTCAAGGAATTGAAAGAAATAACTCCTTCTCTCAAAATAATTGAACAATTTTATTAATTATTTTCCATAAAATATTAAAAAAGGTTTTTTTTTAAATTAAGAATAATAAAATCATAATTTCGGCTTCAAGATTGTCTGGGTAATAGTTGAAAAAATCGTTATATATCAATGGCTAGGCATAGGAATGCATGTACCTATATAGTTATATAGATTAACATTGAGTTATATATGGTTATATAGAGTTATATAGAGTTATATAAGGTTATATAAAGTTCTATTGAGTTTTATAGTTATAGGGTTATATCAGAGCCGGCTTTGAACCATGGAATTCCCGCGATTCCCGTTCCCATGCCCACCTCGAAATCACAATTACAGCAGTTTTTAAAAATGAAGCGCTTCAAACTAATTAATTAATGAATGGTACATCTCTCAAACATTTCGTGTTCCATTTTTAATTATAAATTGTAAGGATTTTTGTGGATGATCTCGTCGCGATTTCTGTCGTTTGAATGATATAAATTGCAAATTTGTATTGTTTGAAGCAATTGAATTGTTTAATTTTACAATCGGTTGAGATTTTTTGTCGATAAAAATTTAATTCATTCCCGGTTCGCCATCATGAATATAAATCCGTCGTCGTACTCAACGTTGTTGTCCGGATCCGGGGGAACCCAATCGACGTACCCGTCACTTCCTCCGCTACCCTCACTTCACCAGCAGATGCAGCAACCTTTGCTGCAGTCCCCAGCGCCATCTAATCAGCTTAATGAGCAGTCGCAACAACAACAATATCTCATGAATGAACCTTTCCACCAGCAGAATCGTGGACCAGCGGAGCCCTACTTCCAGCCCCCACCACAGCATCAACCCCCTCCACCACAGCATTTGCCACAGCAACAATATCAACAGCAGCAGTATCAGCAACAGCCACAATTTCAACAAAGAAATGATCGTTCTAATCAGTTTGAGTTTGAAGACCAGCTAAATAGCGGAGATAGAAAAGATTACAAAGAGTTCAAAGAGTACAAACTTGATGTATGCAGAGAGTACATGAGAGGTAGATGTACCAGAAGTGATCAGGGCTGCAAATATGCCCACCCTCCACCGTACGTTGAGGTCATTGATGGCAAAGTCATCGTCTGTTTTGATTTTACCAAGGTTAAATTTGTTTCTCCATTTTTGAATATTTGAACGTTTTCAAATATGATGTTAATTTGCTTATACACTAATTTTTCTCAAATGAGCAGAATCGCTGCAGAAGAAATAATCCCCCATGTCGTTACATGCATCCACCTTCTCATTTGGTTCCTAATTTTGGATCAGGAGATGCCCCAGCCAGCAGAAACAGAAGTCGAGGAGGTCAGGGATTTGGTGGCGATGGGAGGTCTAGGAGTAATGATAGAAGAGGAGGCCCCAGCAACTTTTCATCAGTAATTTTATTTATTCCCTGCATTTATTTATTTAATTGTTATCAATTGAAATTGTTTTAATTTTTCTTATAATTTCACCAACAGCCACAGAATGATTCCTTCTTCATGGGACCCGGCAGGAATCAGTCAGGATGGACACAGAACAACAGAGACCACTCGCTGAACAGCAACAGAAATGTTGGCAACAGTTTCAACAGTGGCGGATACGATGACAACTTTGAAGGTGGCTTTGGGGGCAGAGATTTTGGTGGAAATAATTTTGGAGGTGGGAGATCAGGTGGAGGAGGAGGTTTTGGGGGAAGATCAAATGATGGAGGAAATAGAAGGAATAGGATGAGTGGAGGTAGAGGAGGATTTTCTGGAATGGGTTCCGGAGGAGATGGTGGGTTCAACAAGGGAATGAGAAAAGATCAAATTGAGGTTGTTATTGCTTCGTAGAATAGAATTTTCACAAGTAATTTCTTATCTTCTATTAATTTTATGAAAATCTACGAATAAATGCAGGTTTGTAGACAGTTCCTTCGTGGCAACTGTGATCGTGAAAGGTGCAAATACGCCCATCCGCCACCCCACATAAGGGTGAACGATGGTTACGTTGTTTATTGCATTGACTACATCATCAAGGGTTCCTGTGGCAAGGGTGATTCCTGCAGGTACTTCCACATGCCTGAATATCTGGCCGAGTTGTATGGAAAGGCACAAGTGGTTTGTCATATTTTTTAATTGTTTTATTTAAAGTTTCTTTTGTTTTGACTTTTTTTCGTGTTGAGCTTAATTTTTAATCAGTTTACTAGATTTTTCACATTCATGAGGGATTTGTTTGTTTTAATTTTCTGCCAAAGAATCGCAAAAGACCTTATGACAATTCCATGGATAGCAATGATGTGGATGATGGCAGTGCCAAGAGGTGCGCTACTGGCGATGACCTCGGTTGTGAAGATTACAACAACAACAATGATGGTGGGGCTGAAAACTACGATGACGACAACAACAACGCTGTTGATTACAGCAATAGCAATGATAACAATGATGTTATTGATTACAGTAACAACAGTAATAATAATAATAATAATTACAATAATGATTACAACCATGGTTACGATGATAATAATGTCAACAATAATAATGACGGTGGTTTCGTTGGCAGTGAGTATAATGTGGAGGAGAACAAAGGACAGACTTATGAAGGAGGTGATGATGCCGGCTATAATCTGGTTGTCGATGAGAATAAGAATAATGATGCCGATGTTGAAAAGAATGCCTCTGCTGCTGCTGTTGCAGTCACCACTACTGCTACTGGTGGTAGCGGTGGGGATGTTGCCGTTGGTTCCACTGATGTAAGTTTTGTCTGATTGTTTATTACTTCCCAAATGTTCATTAATTATGCAATTATATCTGCTTCATGAATATTAATAACCTGTTAATTATAATATTTTCTGCAAATCAACGCAGGCATTGCATGCAGTGGGCTCACCAGCAAAGCAGCAATTTGCAGCTGATTCGCAACAGCAAGCAAGCAACTAAGCAAGTTGTTATACATGGCTCAGTCACATGATATTTGTGATGCGCGTATTGATAAATATCAATTATTATCAATGAATGTTTTTTCCTCTTATTATAAATAGATACTTCATGATGATCTATTAAAGAATTATGTTCTCTGTCATATTTTACATTAATTACTGGATACATTGGCTCATTTCATTGTGACTGCATATAGTTGATAAATTCGTTTATGTTCGAATTTGTTTTAATTGAAGTGTAAAGATTGAATTTTGATTGATTAGAGGTATGAATTTTAATGAAATGGAGACTATTATAAATGTTTGTGTTGTGAATTTTTACTTTCCAGATGTTCGAGTCTTCCTAAGTGCGTGTCTGTTTATGTTTTTGAATGGATTCTATCATTTTGTTTGTGCGAATTCGTATTTTACTTTCTCAAGTAAATCTGTTCGCCAGCGTTTAAATTGCAGGAAGAAATGTTTGTTTAATAATAAATTTATTGTTCGTTGGAGTTGAATATTTTTTCGATGGTAAACAACATGGCGGGCGATAGTAAGCTGATTTCGATCTTATCCTACCCTAATCGAATAAATTTGAAGTCACTTGGGGTCGAATGTCTCAAGAAATGTTTGGATTACGTAAGTTTTAATTTATTTGAGTGCAAATTTCACGCTTTGAATTGCGCTGATAAGTTATTTCATGTTGCAAGCAGAGAGGAGTTCCATACAACGGCATGAATGAAGATGCGGATGCGTTGAGAGAGTTATTCAAATTGCACATCGCTCCTGAGTTACAACGAGTCTACAGGGATAATCCGCTTGAGAAACATCTCCTCGATCTGCAAAACAATTGTAGTAAGAGACGTATTGACCGGTTTGAAATTTTATTGTTTTCAAACTTGTTGAAACTAAAAATGCTGCTTGGAAAGCCTCTCTTATTTTTAAGCTAAAAATCATGATTTATACCTGTTATAATAATCTATGTTTGTCATGGTAAAATTTTATTTTTCCTGATTAAAGATATTTAAAATTTCAAAATTAGTGATAATGGTCTATTGAAAAGAAGACAGCATGAATCACATCTCCATGAAGAATTAACAAATTGTGATGATGAAACATGCAGAACAACATCCAACCACCAAAAAGATGGTAGTCAGAATGCTGCTACTGCTGATCACAAAACAACTGAAACAGTTCTTTTAAAAAAATTAAATAAAACGGTCGTCATAACTGTAAGAAATTAATTTTTAATATTTAATTATTCAGTCAATTAAAATATATTTTCTGTTTCAGACGTCAGACAGTCCACCAGTCAAAAAGTTTAAGCCAATTACATTTCCCTGACGTTTTTAAACATATTTAATGTTTAAATTGACTGTTAATCACATTTTTTAATCATCTTAGTTGCGGTACATTTGTTGATTTTTATAAAAAAAAAATATTTCAGTACAACTTTGTTTTAAATATTTGAAGAAAAGAACCGATTTTCTTTATTTATTGAAAGTTTCTGTGTTCACTTTTCTAGCAAGCTGAGAACATCAAACTTTCTCTTGTGTGCGCCTCTGTTCACCAATTCTTTACTTACTATATTTGTTGGGAAACTTCTTGAACATTTTTTGTACTTTACTTTCTCACAAGTTTCGGACTTTTTATGGGCCCCAACTATGGCCCTTCTCGCCTTTTTCAGGGCTTTTTTCCTCCTAAAATCCCCCATTAAAAAGTCCTCTACGTTAGCAGGGTGGACAGCCCAATAGTGCCCCTTCCCTGAGTTGCACCTGCCCACTTTGATGAAGCAGTCATTCAGGGATAAGTTGTGCCTGACGCTGTTTCTCCACCCAGATCCTCGTGTTCTGAAGTAAGGGTAACGTTCCAGGACCCACTGGTAGATTTCGCCTAGGACCAATTTTTTATCTGTCGACTGCAAGATAGCAGTTGCTATGAGGCCTATGTAGCTGTGAGATGGCTTCTGTTGTTCGTCTCGTAACATGCCACGTAAGATTTGGAGGTTGGTGGATGAGTTGTTGCTGCTTTCAACGTGGTTGTTGTTGTTGATGTTGCAGATGCCGTCGATTTTGGCGTTGAAGATGTTGATGTTGTTGTGCAGTTGAGCCCAGAGACGCATTCTCACCATATCTCTGTGGTATTCGTGCATTTGTTGATGCAGTTGAGGTAAGTTCAATTCTTGACGCTCGCTATAGTTATGTCGTTGCAATTGCTGGTATTTCAGTAATTGTCGTTGCTGATGTTGATGCTGCATAAATTTTGCTTTGTACTGTTGCAAGGAGTAGAGTTGCAGGATTTTGTTGGAAGAAACATTGTCACTGTTGATGACAGGATAAGAAGCTGTCGTTGTCGTTGTCGATAAAGATGATGATTCGGTTGGATTTCGGTAGAATTTATTGGGGAAATGATTGCCAACTTGACGAATCTTTGGATGGCGCTGCATGTTGCTGGATGTTGATGACGTCTGCCACGAACTAAAATATTTTGCCCATTTTGAATTGACAGCACGATTTCTTAAAAATGAAGTCTCAATAAAATCATTCCTGGCCCTTTTAAAGTAGAATTCAACGAGAATTTAAAATCTATCCTGCTCTGTCATTGGTCAGTTCGCTACAGATGCTCGCTTCCCATTGGTCAAAACTCTTTAATAACGTTGCGAGAATGTCTGTTATTAACTCTGCTTACTGTTGTTACTATTGTTATTATTATTAATTTTATTATTATTATTGTTGTTGTGTTTGGTAGTAATGATGATAGTAGTTGTTACGGTGGCAATGTTAAAATTACGCTTGATTAGTTTGTGTTACTTCTCTTTAATGATGCCATGTTCTCGATGCCCATTGGCTATTCAAATATGACGTCACTAACAACATTAATAATAATAACGATAGCGGTTTATTTGTTGCGTTTATTTTTATTTTGAGGTCATAGGTCATGGATATAATGAAGATAGCGTCTCGTTATTTTGTTTGTTGGAAGCTGTGTTGGTGCCAGCGAAAAACCAGCAGAAAATATATACTGCTGGAGAAAAAATGCAAACATTAAGTACGCGAACAAGCCCTGCAATCATCATTAGCGGCAAAACATGCGACAACTTCCCGTTCGATTTAAATTATACAGCGCTTCACAATCCACGCACATCATTTCTTTTGATCATGACGTCATATCAACAACAGTGATGGTCGAACTAATTCGAAATATGTCCGTCGTCTGTTTGTGTTATCCTGGTGGGTGCTTATTACGCGCTAGAAAAAGATTTGACGTCGTTAATAATATCACATCATCATGTTTTTAATCATTCCCTCATCACCATCGTCGTCATCGTCTTCATCGTTGTGCTGTCACTGTTTCTGCTTAATTACTTTTTTAATCATCATTATCAGCGTCATCATCGTCGTCGTCGTCATCACTGTTAGCCTTGTAAGATTAAGGAAAAGATTTCATGCGCCATTGCTATAGGAACGCTTGTTGACACAGGTGATGCTAATTTCATCATCGTTTTCATCATTTCATTTTGATCGTCATCATCACCGTCATTTTAATCGTCATCATCGTTATCATCATCATCATCATCTCTATCTTCTTTCTCTATCGTCACCAACATCACCCAAGTTTTAAGCTTAATTTGTATCATTCTATTTGTACAGTACAATATACGTCACCATCTTTCTGATTTCAAGTCGCATCATCTCGTTATTACCATCATCACCATGATCAGTATCAATGTTAGCAGTACAATCGGTGGTAATATAACTGTCATCATCATCATCGTCGTCATCATCGTCGTCGTCATCACTTTCTCAACCTCAACTATTTATATCCGACATTTCTTCACAAGTTTACTGAAGCAAAATGTCAGACGAACAAATACAAAATAAGTCCGAATAGGTATGTTTTGGCTTGTTTGTATGTGTGTTCGTTTGCATGTGTGTTTGTACAATGCGTATATATGTATAGAGAAAGAGAAAGAGAGAGAGAGAGAGAGAGAGAGAGAAAGAGAGAGAGAGAGAGAGAGAGAGAGAGAAAGAGAAGATTGACTTATAAAGACACATGATCTTGAGATATTTTCTTTATTTTACATCCCGATATGTGTATTTATGTATGTATATTTGTATCCATGTATATATGTATGCATATTTGTATGTATGTGTGTATGTATATATGTATGTGTGATTGTGCGTGTGTGTGTGTGTTTGTTTGTGCGTGTGTGTGCCAGACGAAAAAAGTCTAACAAGATTTTCCGATTTTTTCCTAATTAATTAATTAATGGTTAATGCATCGCGGGACACTTTCGGCTATGCAGAGGTGTCAGTCTCCATCTCACGCACACGCACACACATGCACACATACACACGTACACATACACACACGTACACAAACACACGCACACACACATCCAGAGGTATATATACGTACATGGTACGTCACTCAAATTAAAGAATCAAAGAATTTTATTTATATGTAGCATCTCAACACGATCTCACTTTATTTGTGTTCGTTGCCTATAAAGTATGAAAGGCAATTTTATTTTCTCATAATTTAATATTTATTAAATTTAAATTAGTAATAATTATTATTAATTAGTATTTTATTTTTTAAAATTTAGACAATTTCGAGTTAATGATGGGCGTTATCGGTAGCAAAACTAGTCCAAACTCTAGCAACAACAGCAGCAACAACAACAACAAAAAATACAACAACAACAACAACAACGACAAACCAGATCTGGAGGTTAGGGGTACGCGGATATCCCCAAAGCCCCGTCGACCAGCGCGTGAGGTTGTTGTGGTTCAGCCCTTGCTACAACAACGCAACAACAACAGCAACAAAAACAACGTCAACAACAGTAATAAAATGAACGCTGATAACAAAATATGCAACTCAAACAACGACAAAAACAAACTGAATGATAACATTGACAACGACAACAACGACGATGACGTCACCGACAAGACCGTCAACAATGAGACCACCAGCGAAGTCAACAGCTTCAAAATGACGTCACCCACGTCGCCAAAAGCGGAACTAATCATGGTGAAGGAGGCCGTAAGTCACCAACAGCACGATCTCACAGCATCAACAACAACAACATCAACACCAACAACAACAACAACATCAACAAAAACAACAACTAATAATAATAATAATATTACCTCTCCAAAAGATATCTCAAATGACATCAACGCTGTTAACATAGAGACTACTCCTACCACTACTACTACTAATACTACTACTACTACTACTGCTGCTTGTAATAATAATAATAATAATAATAATAATAATAATAATAATAATAATAGTGATGATTGTATAACATCTAACGAAAAAGGCTTGGAAGGGGAAAATTGCGCGGTCGATAATGAGGAAGATGGGAATTCCATTTCCGCTATGTCGAGCGTCAGTGACGTCAGCATAGATAAATTAATCTGCAAGGAGGAATATTTAGATCTATGCAATATGGCCGACCTACCTGCCATTGAAAGTCCCGAAGCGGCTAACATCTCTTCTTTGCGGTGAGTGATAATTAAGGAAATCTCATCATTTATTACTACGATCATCATTATCATTGTCGTCGTCGTCATCTTCTTCATCGTTATCATAACCAGGATCAAGGAGATCATGGTACTCATAGAAAACTCCGCCCACCCAGCCAAGCAGCCAATCATAGACAACCTGAAGTATGCATGCCAGGTCCTAGATCACGTCTTCGAAAATGAAACAAAGTATGAAAATTTTATGAATTATCCAAATATTTTCATTAATATTTTTATAAATAACTTATTTATTTATCTTTGTCTTATCATTCATTACTATTGATATTACTAATGCTATTGCTGCTTTATCAACTACTACTGCTGCTACCACTGTTACTACTACTACTCCTACTACTACTAATATTACCACTACCGCCACAGACGTTTGTGTGGCGAGGAAGAAGACGACAATGTGCTAAGTGAAGTCGTTGAAGCCGATGTTCCAGATCAGGTTAAAGATTGGTTGGCGCAGACCTTTACAAGATCTCTAAGTAGTATTAGGAGGTTGGCGTGTATGTCTGTCTGTGTTTGTGTGTGTTTGTGTACCTCTGTGTATGTGCGTGTGTATGTGCGTGTGTGTCTGTGTGTTTGTGTGTGTCTTAAACTAGGTTGATTTTTCTTAATATTATAACTATAATAGATTTCAGGACAAGCCAAAGTTTAGGAGCGTTGCCAATGTCATCAGAGTTGGAATCATGGTGGACAGGTCAGTCATCATCATCGACATCATCATCGTCATCATCATCAACATCATCATCATCGTCGTCACCATCATCGTCATCATCATCATCATTGTCACCATCATCATCATTAGGATTTACAGACGAATGTCGAGTACATTAGGCTTGCACGTGCCTTCAGATGTCCTTGAACTTCTGAAGGTTAAAAGAATATCATCATCATCATCATCATCGTTGTCATCATCATCATCATCATCATTACTATCATCATCGTCGTCGTCGTCTGTTTTTGTTATATTTTCACAAATGAATCATTCAAAAATTATTATTCGTTGTCGTAAATATTATTTCTTCTTTGCTTTCAATTTGAAGTAATTAAATTTATAATCGCCATCATCATCGCCATCGTCATCATTATCATCGCGTTATCATCATCATCACCATCATCTTCTTCATCACGTGACAAGGGCATAGATGATTGGACGTTCGACGTTTTCAAAGTGGACGAATCATCTGAAGGTCACTCCCTCAAGTTCGTGGCCTACGAGGTCATTCAAAAGTACAACCTCATCAGGAAGTTCAAGGTCGTCTCATGGTGGCCGTCATCATTATCCGGATGATAATAAATCATTAATAATAATAAAACTCTTGCGTCGTTACGTATACAGTTACAAAGTTCATTTCATATGTAGGCAGAGTACCGACATGGCTCTGCTTATAACTTGTTCTACTTTCCTGACCGTGAACTGACCTAATTTCTCGACCAATCGCAGATAAGTTCACAGACGCTGGACAACTTTTTGACCCAGATAGAGCAAGGGTACAGCAAGCATAGGAACCCCTACCACAACCTCGTCCATGCCGCTGACGTCACGCAGACCACCCACCACATCCTGGTCAATTGCGGCATGCAGGTCGGTCATGATTATGATGTTACTGTTGTTGTTGTTGATGATGATGATGGTGGTGATGACGTTTGGGGTGGTGTTGATAATGATTCAAATGATGGTGGTGGTGATGATGATGATGACGAGTAGGAGGAGGAGGACGTTGGCGAATTTTTTCTCCACTTTGCACCTACTTTGGAGTTATTTACCGTAGTCAATTAGGGTAATTCCAGTGAATGATTAACACACACACACGCACACACACGTCATATTTATAAATACCTTCCAATACCTATATCTCTGAAGCCGGTCGGTGTGTTGATAGCAAGTGCATCACAATTGATCCGTAAAAAGGAATTTTTTTTCGCTTCTACGATTTCTCTCTCACTACCACTACTACTACTTCTACTACTACTACACTTTCTACTACCGCTTCTACTACACTTACTACAACTACTCTAACCAGCAGTTGTGGTTGACTGACGTTGAAATCCTGGCCACCATTCTGGCTTCGATAGTCCACGATTACGAGCACACTGGCACGACGAATGCCTTCCACATTAACACCGGGCAAGTTATAATTTATGATAATTTATGATAATTTATTATAATTAATTACTACTACTATTATTATTACTACTACTACTACTACTACTACTACTACTACTACTACTACTACTACTACTACTGCTACTACTACTACTACTACTACTACTACTACTACTACTACTACTACTACTACTACTACTGCTACTACCACTACTACTACTACTACTACTAAGCTCTCTGTTACTGTCGCTACTTCTGTCGCTGCTACTACTGCAATTTCTTCTGTCTGCATGTGCTGTTTATCATTATAATTACAATTCATTCATTCGTTCGTACATTCGTTCATTCATTCACTCATTCATTCACTCATTACCCATTTATCAATTCTACAAATTTATATTAAATTTCTTATAATCAAGATTTATTAAGTGAATGAATGAGTGAATAAAATGAATAAAACGTGTTAGTAAATGGGCAAATCAATGAATTAATGCATGCAAGCATGCATTAATGAATGAATGAATGATGGTACAATAAAACCTTCAGATCGGATATCGCGTTGACATACAACGATCGAGCGGTCCTTGAAAGCCATCACGTCAGCGCGGCGTTCAAACTCATGAAAGATGAGGAGCTCAATATACTCGCCTCCTTGAAGAGAGAAGAGTATAAGTGAGGGAGCGAGTGAGTGAATGAATGAGAGAATGAACGAGGGAATGAATGAGGGAATGAACGAATGAGTAAATGATTGAGCAAAGAATGGACCATCACCATCGTCATAATTTCAATGCAGAGAATTAAGAATGTTGATGATAGAGATTGTCCTAGCTACAGACATGTCCTTCCACTTCCAGCAAATCAAAAACATGAAGAGTCTCCTATCCATGCCAGAAAAGTTTTTTTTCTTGTTTTTTTTCACTACTACTACTACTACTACTACTACTACTACTTTTTCTAAATGTGATTCTTTAATTGAAAGATGAACGAAAGAACGTAAATTAAACGATGGTACTTATGAATGAATGAACGAACGAACTAATGAACGAATGAATGAATGAACGAACGAACGATGACAGCATCGACAAGTGCAAAGCCCTTTCATTGATAGTCCACTGTGCCGACATCAGCCACCCCGGCAAGCCTTGGAACATGCATCACAGATGGACACAACAACTCATCAGCGAATTCTTTCAACAGGTTGGCTATCTGGGTGTCGGGTTAAGGTCAAATTGAGGTCGGACAAAGATCAACTCGAGGTCAAATTTGTTATTATTTTATAGAAAGTAATTTGAAAATTGTCAACCAAGGGTGACAGAGAGGCGGAAATGAACCTGACGATATCTCCATTGTGTGATAGGAACAACACGCTGATTGCTCAGTCACAGATCGGTAGGCTGCCTACTTAACATAATTAATTTTATTGTATGCCCGTCTGGTGCGCTATGAGGATTATTAATTAATTAATTCATTCATTCATTCAAATAATGCATTGAATAAGTAATCCATTCATAATTCATTCATTCATTAATTCATCCACTAGAATTGAATTCCTAGGTTTCATAGATTTCATAGTTGATCCGAGCTTCCAGGTGATGAGCGATGCTGTCGACAAGATTCTGCAGCAGCTGACGTCAACAACCGCAACGACCACAACGACCACAAATAACAATAATAATAATAATAATAATAATGGTGAGAAAGATGGCGACGATGATGACGAAGGTGGTAATCTTGATGGTGATGATGGTGGTGAAATGGTGATGATGATGACGAAGACGATGACGACGATGACGAAGATGATGATGAATACAGGAATATTAGAGACATCATCAGAGAACAAGATCCAACGACATTGGAATGCCTGCCTCGCCACAAATAAACAAAAGTGGAGAGAAAAAGGTGAGGATGATGAAGGTGATGAAGATGAAGATGAAGATGATGGTGATGATGATGATGATGAAGATGAAGACGACGATGAAAATGATAATGACTATTGGTTTTGTATTTTCATAATTTTAATAGATGAAGAGGAAAAGATGCAAGCGGAGGCCGAGAAAGAAAAATCCCTAAAAAATATAGGTTGGATGGAATTGTGCTGATGATGACGACGACGACGATGATGATGGTGGTTGTGGTGGTGGTAATGATCATAATGATGGTGATGGAGAGGATGATGATGATGATGATTGGAAGAGGGTGATGGTGATAATCGAAATTAATTTTTCAGATAATTCTGAATCGATAGGCGGTGACGAAAAAGTTGATGATGAAGAAACTACGAAATGAAAGATGAAAATGATGACGACGACGATGATGATGGTGATGATGATGATGATGATGAACAAGGATGATGATGATGATGATGATTTTGACGTTAATAATCGTAATCATAACTTGTAGCTATAGTAACATCTTTTTCGTTCCGAATAAATTTTTTTTTATTTAAACTAGACGCAAAACATTTTTTATACAAAGTTGCACAAATAAACTGTAATATGTTTGTATGTATGTTTGTATGTATGTTTGTATGTATGTTTGTATGTTATGTATGTATGCCTGTATGTATGTTTGAATCTTTCTACACAACACACTTCAGCTTGTTTATAATATTATTGATTTTAAAAAGGCTTTGTTTATTAGCTTTACTCAAACACAATTTATATGCAATCTCATGTATGTATGTATGTATGTATGTATGTATGTATGTATGTATGTATGTATGTATGTATGTATGTATGTATGTATGTATGTATGTATGTATGTATGTATGTATGTATGTATGTATGTATGTATGTATGTATGTATGTATGTATGTATGTATGTATGTATGTATGTATGTATGTATGTATGTATGTATGTATGTATGTATGTATGTATGTATGTATGTATGTATGTATGTATGTATGTATGTATGTATGTATGTATGTATGTATGTTGTTTATTGCTGTTGAGGGTTGGGATGCAATGTTTTATTATCTACATAACATTTTGCATCGTTCTACACACGCCATAACAATAACAATAAAAGTTATTGTTATTATTTTATTATTTTTATTAATATTATTATTATTATTATCAGACAATAACAGATGTTGGTTTGATGATGAGGATGATAATGATGGATGGTGATGATGATAATGATGGTGATGGCGATGATGATGATGTTGTTCTAGATGTTTTTGTTGATGTATATAACACATTTTTTCTTACTAATACGAGTGCAAAATTAGAAGTTTTCAACCTAAAAATAAACCTCGAATATCATAGGCTGTTCATAAATTATGTTAATGAGATGATTGACGTCATTACTAACCTTGTGTTGGTGGTTAGTTAGTATGAGTATATTAATATTTTTTTGTGTTTGTATGTGTGTAGTTTTGAATGAATTTTAACAAAGATCGAATGAATGAACGAATGAACGAACGAACGAATGAATGAACGAACGAACGAATGAACGAACGAATGAATGAATAAATGAATGAATGAAAATGTATGATTGATAGTTGAGTTTACACATTCAGTCATTCAAACGAGTGAACGTATTCACAAAGCATCATAAAGCGTTGTTTGGCTTGCATACAATCATAACATATGCTGTCGAACTTGTAGTAGTAGTAGCAGCAGAAGCTACAGCAGTAGTAGTAGTAGTAGTAGTAGTAGTAGTAGTCGTAGTAGTAGTAGTTGTGTTGATAATATTACCATTGTCACTACAATACATATAACCAACGGTTTCCAACATACTAGATACTAAACTAGATCATTCAATGGTTTTTATCATCATTCAACTGTAATGCTAATGATGAAGCTAATGTGGTGAAGCGAGGAAGATGATGATGATGATGAAGAAGAAGAAGATGATGATGGAGAAGAAGATGATGATGGTGATGATGAT